ATGGCGGCGGGGGCTGGGGGGGGCCTGCCAGTATCTGATCTGACAAAAGCCACCCTTAGAAACGCTCAGAGCGAGCCCAGCAAGGTGGCCCTGCCACCCCAGTGGGCCACCAGCCCAGGCCATTTGGGTCAGAACACTGTTGATCGTTGTCATGCCAAGACGGATCGTGGGCTCCAGGTGTCAGCCCCTTCCCGGGGCTTGATCTGTGTTCTGGGAGGGGATTGCCACCCCTCAGCTGCATCGAACACTACCGCTCGTGTTTAGCTCGTCCCCAGCCTGCGCCCCCTTGGCCCCCCCGGTGAGAATGGGGCAGTTCTGTTTTGAGAGGCACTCACCTGCATTGGCCGCGTCTCAGTTCTGCCGGGAGCTAACAGCTGCTGTTCTCCTCTCGTGTGCATTTCCTCAGGATGTTGCTCAGAGAAGCAAATCTGAAAAACTGCTGGCTCTGAAAAGGGTATCGAGTGTGTGATCTGTGCTCCCAGGGAGGAGTGTGGGGAGGGCTCAGCCAGCAGCTCGGTGCCTGGCGCAGGGCTGCCGCACCGCCGAGCTGTCCTTGCCACGGACGGTCCTTCGGGTGCCGGCCCTGGCTGTGGCCCCTTGGCAGGCAGCAGCCGGGCAAAGCCCTCGGGGAGCGCGGCGGCCGGTCTGCCCACGGGCTCAGTGTGGGGCGAGGTGGGGAGGGGTGCAGCGGGGAACGACCCCTCTCCTGTCCTCCAGCCCTGCTCCTTGCCTCAGCAGTGGAACAGGACAGAAGTTTGAGATGAAATGCGTCCCCGTCACTCTGGTCTCAGCTGAGCTTCGCCCCAGCCCCTGCTGCACTGCCGGGGGGGGGCAGCTCAGCGCCCTTGTGTCGGGGCCTCTGCCAATGCTCCGGTTCTCAGCCTGGCTGCGCCTGTTGTGTGACTTTGGGATTTCCCTGCCCTGCATGCGGCTTTGCACGTGGCTCCATCCCCGGGGCAAGGGCTTCTCTGTCCAGCTGCCCTCTGCTCCTGTGTGCGTGTGCAGGGCAGCGGGAGGGCAAGGGAGCAGCATGCCCGCTCCCTCTGACCCCCGGCTGGCGTTTGCAGGTGGCCAGCGTGAGGAAAACCACAGTCCTGGACGTGATGAGAAGATTGCTGCAGCCTAAAAACGTGATGGTGTCCACAGGGCGAGACAGGCAGACCAACCACTGCTACATCGCCATCCTCAACATCATCCAGGGGGAGGTGGATCCTACGCAGGTGAGCTCCCGCGGCCGTTTCAGATGCTGATGGAAATGGCATGGCCTGCCGGGGAAGGGCACGGTCACCGTCGCCCTGTGCGGGGACCCTGGGGTGAGACTGAGCAGTGCCTGAGAACTGGCTCCAGGTTGCTCCTGCCCTCATGGAAAGGCCGTGAGCAGCCTCCCTACCTGCCATTCGCCGAAATCTACCTTCCCGAGGCCGTATGTCGTGTGAGGAGCAGCTCCTGGCTCTGCTGGGACCAGGCCGCTTTGTCCATCACCCTGCTGCCCCTTGCTGCTCTTGTCCCGCCAGGTTCACAAGAGTCTGCAGCGGATCCGGGAGAGGAAGCTGGCCAACTTCATCCCCTGGGGTCCTGCCAGCATCCAGGTGGCTTTGTCCCGCAAGTCCCCCTACCTCCCGTCCGCGCACCGCGTCAGCGGCCTCATGATGGCAAACCACACCAACATCTCCTCGGTGAGTGCCTTCCTTCTGGCACCGGGGCCCCGCAGCTGCAGCTCTGACGTCCTTTCAGTCACAAATGCATCCTCTCTGGGGCTTTCACAAAGCCACGGCAGGGCCTGCAGATGAGGGGAGGGTGGGCAGCTCCCCGCTGGGGCACAGCAGGGCTCAGGTCTGGGCTGGGCTCCCGTCAGTCCTGCTGCACCCCTGGTGCCGCTCTCCCAGGAGCAGGCTGCAGCAGGACTCCCGCTCCCTGGCCAAGGGCAGCCTCGGAAGCACGAGCTGATCCTGAGTGCTGGCTGGGCGCAGGGTAGCAGCTACTGCCCTGCCTGCGGCTGCCTGCCTGCCTGCCTGCTCCTAGGCAGCAGCCTGAGGAGGGTGGGCCCCCTCCCTGCCCCGCGGGATCCCCGGGGAGCTCTGGCCCGTCTGACCGCTGCGCTGCTCTCCAGCTGTTTGAGCGGACATGCCGGCAGTACGACAAGCTGCGCAAGCGGGAGGCCTTCCTGGAGCAGTTCCGCAAGGAGGATATCTTCAAGGACAACTTCGACGAGCTGGACAACTCCCGGGAGATCGTGCAGCAGCTCATCGACGAGTACCACGCGGCCACGCGCCCCGACTACATCTCCTGGGGCACGCAGGAGCAGTGAGTGCCCTGCCAGGGGATGGGAGGGTCCCACGGCCGCCTCCACGCACGCCGGCAGGGCTTGTCTCTGCCGTGCCCACGTTTAGCACCCCTCAGCGCTGCCTGGCCGCGGTGGCGTCCTCGCACCGGCTGCACGCACGCACGCACACTGCGCTCCTCAGCGGAAGCGGCTCTGCAGGGAGCAGCGCTGCCCCTGAAGACCCTTGGCGGGGGACAGCCTCCACTCCACCACGTGCCCTGGCCCAGGACAGGACTGGGGCAGCTGTGCGCTGTGCTGGTAGGGAACCTCTGCCCGTGGGAGGAGCGCTTGCTCGGAGGAGGAGGAGAGCAAACCCGGGGGCTTGGAACAGGCCTGGCCTGAAGAGTTGGGTGCATGTGACCCCTGTGGCCAAAGGCTCTGTGTGGCTGAGCTAGTCCTTGCCCAGGGCAGGAGCCTTGTTCCTCCTTTGCCAGATCAGGCCTGGGGCACAGGCTGTATCTATATTTTTGTAGGTTATTTTGCTTTAATAAAGGCTGTTCCTGCACTGATGCTGCCTGCGCAGCTCCTGGAGCGAGCGGCTGGGCAGGGAAGCAGCTGCAGACACTGCAGGGCCAGCACTGCCCTCGCCCAGCTGGCCGGCCCTGCCACGCAGCCGCAGCCCAACAGCGTCCCGGCTTGGTGGGAGCGCTGAACCGGGGCCGGTGCTCACCGGCATGTCCCGGTGGTGCGCGGGGCCAGCCCTGCCCTGGCCAGGAGCCAGCCGGCAGCACGCTGTCTGGGCCCAGGCGGCACCGGGCGACTGCTGCAGCAGAGCCAGAAATACTGGCAGGGCATGCCGGCGTGGCTGACCAGGGACGGGCACAGGCACCGCCCTGCCTGCCCGCAGAGCATGCGGTGCCCACGTTAATGTTTCACAAGGGGCGAGGCTCCGTGCGGGAGGGAGGCCCCCGAGGGGCTGGGGTGCCCTGGCCACTCTGGATGCGAGGCCGGCGATGGCACTGCCGGGAAGGACACGGGCTCAGGGCTGGCTGGGATGGATGGGGGGGGATGGATGGACCGACTGATGGACACGGCAGCTCCAGTCCTGCCCCGCGTGAGTCAGGCTGCGAGGGACAGGGGTGTGGGGCCACCCTGGCGTCAGCCCAAGCCCAGGCAGCCCAAGGTGAGAATTAGCCTTTTCCTCTGACCCTGTGGCACAGAGCAGCAGGCTAAAAATACCCGCCTGCCATGGCAGCGCTGGGCTCCCACGCCCTCCTTGGCACCGGCCCCGCAGCGGCGCCCGCTGCCGGGGCAGTTCCCCCCACCCGGGGCGGCCAGTGCCAGGGGGTGCCGGGGAGCTGGAAGCGGAGCCGGAGCGCTGCCCGCGCTGTTGATGAAATGCCAAAGGGCGCAGCAAGCAGCCCGGCTGCCGGAAATCCCCGCCTGCCATGGCAGCGCTGGGCTCCCACGCCCTCCTTGGCACCGGCCCCGCAGCGGCGCCCGCTGCCGGGGCAGTTCCCCCCACCCGGGGCGGCCAGTGCCAGGGGGTGCCGGGGAGCTGGAAGCGGAGCCGGAGCGCTGCCCGCGCTGTTGATGAAATGCCAAAGGGCGCAGCAAGCAGCCCGGCTGCCGGCGCTGGCCAGAGGGACGGCGGTCCCTGCCCCCAAGGACACGCCATGCTGCTCTTCCCCGCTGCCGCTGCCCGTCCCAGGCCCCGCTGCGCTCACGGCCCCGAGGACCAGACCATCCCCGCCTCCCACCGCGGGCC